AGATAATTAGTGCTCAATGTTGGGGCCACATGGGATGTGTCTAACATGGCTGCCTGGAAGTGGGGTGGTTTGGGGAAGGGACTGATAGTGCACAGGAGGTGGTGTTGAGCTGCCCCAGGATGTCAAGGCCGCTTGACTTGGGGAGGGGGCCTTGCAATCAACAAAACTCTTTCATTCTATGTGTTAGCTCCAGGAACGCCTCTCCCACATCACTAGCCACAATTTGCAGGCGAGGAAATTGAAGCTCACAGAGGTCAGGGGAATCGCTCATAGCCTAACACACACCTCCTGACCTCCCAGCCAAGACCCTCCGCCCCGCCCCGCCCCCCGCTGCCGCCGCCGCCGCCGCCGCCGCCGCCGCCGCCGCCTCCACCAGTCCTGCGTCTGGTCCCGACAGCTCCGACCTCACCTATCTTGCCAACGGGCTCATTTAACCACGAGGGGGCGCCAGATGCCCGTTCATGGGGTAGCCGGGACCGGGCTGAAGGGTGGAGTGACGGCTCGTTTGAGGGAGGTTCCCACCGACCGACGCCGGTGGAGCAGGGGAGTCCTTGTAAAGAAAGGGTGTGTGTTGTGGGGAGTGTTGTAAGAGAGCCGAGTGCAGGAGCCTTGGCGGCTGGGATGGAGGGAGGAGGAGGGAAGGGCGTTTGTTGCCTCCTTCTGGCCCTGCCTTGTCAGGCCCTGCCGGGGAAAGGGCAGAGCTGGAGAAAGGGAGGGCTCTCCAGAGCACAGGGCCTCTGCCTCCGCCTCCATTGTCCTCGGGCGCTCAGGATCAGACCGGACATTCCTAAGTCTCCGGCGGCGGGAAACCAGGAAACAGACCAGGAGGTCTGCAGCCTGGCGGGTTCTTCCAAAGCCCGCCCTGCCCCAGAACTTCCCGGAAGAGCCCTGCTGCGCCAGAGGACCCCTGCCCACTGCTCTCTTCCTAGAACTTCCCCTGCACTCTTCCCTCCTGCCCTCCTGGCTCCTCCCTCCCAGCCTACGGGATCAGACCCATCCCCTGAACGCCAGACCTGTTCAAGAATTGTTATCCAGAGATTTTCAGGCCAAACTCATGATCTGTCCCCCTAAACCTGGCTCTCTTCCAGAGTTCCCTCTCGGTGAATGATACCAGTATCCATCTGGTTACTTGACCCGGAAAGCCTGGAATCATCCTTGACACCTTTCTTTTTCAATCCCCACGTCCAATCCACTTGTTCACCTCCTCTGTCTACCTCTGGGTTTCCACTACTCACTGGACCAGTGCCCATCATCCCTCACCAGACTGGGTGTTCTCGTCTGGACTTCTTACTGTCACTCCCCCTCTCTGCTCAATCCCTTCTCCAGGTGGTACCCCTGATATTCTTTTCAAATCGTCAATCTGATCATGTCACCCACCTGCTGAAATCTTTCAACAACTTCCCAGGGCTCTTGCAATAAAGAATCAATCTCAGCATGGCTCACAGGGTTCTGTGTGGTCTGGTCCTTCCCACGTCTCTGGCATCTCACTCTCTCTGTTCCAACTACACTGGCGGTGCTCATCACAGGACCTTTGCATGTGCTGCTTCCTCTGCCTGGAATCCCACCTTTCTGTCTTAACTTCTTCAGATCTCAGCTCCAGCATTGCTTTCTCAGGGCCACCCTGCTTGACCTCCTTGACCAGGTCAGATCCCTTATTATTCAATCTCCTAGTACCACATACTTGTCATAGTTCTAATGGTTCGTTTGTAATATTATTTGATTAATGTCTATTTCCTCCACTAGACTGTGAGCTCCATGAGGGTAAAGACCATGTCAGTTTATGCTCACTTGAAATTCTCCAGCACCCATGTGCCTGGCAAGTAGTAGGTGCCCAATGTTTCTTGAATAAATAAGTCAATTAATGTTGCACGCTTCTCTCCATCTCTATTTCCTGAGCCTAAGCCTCTATCACCTCCTATCTGGCCCTCAGCAATCACTTCTTAACTGGGCTCCCAGTTTACAATCAAGTCCCTACCGGTTTCCCACCCAACAGCCAGAGGGGTCTAATAAAAATACCAGGGTGACCATGTCACCCTTCCTACTCCCTATTTAGTAGCCTTCAGTGGCGTCCCATGGCCCTTGGAATAAAATCCAAACTCCTGCTGCAGCCTTACAAGGCCCGGCATGGTCTGGCTCACCTCATGCCAAGCTCCACCTCCTCAATGGACCTTTCTTTTTTTGTGTGTGTGAGGGAGATCAGCCCTGAGCTAACATCCGTGCTAATCCTCCTCTTTTTGCTGAGGAAGACCAGCTCCGAGCTAACGTCTATTGCCAATCCTCCCCCTTTTTTTTCCTCCCCCAAAGCCCCAGTGGATAGTTGTGTGTCATAGTTGCACATCCTTCTAGTTGCTGTATGTGGGACACGGCCTCAGCATGGCCGGAGAAGCGGTGCGTCGGTGCGCGCCTGGGATCCGAACCCGGGCTGCCATTAGCGGAGCACACGCACTTAACCGCTAAGCCACCGGGCCGGCCCCACGGGCCTTTCTTAATTCAACAAATATCGAGTGCCTACTGTACCAGGCACTGAGGATTCAGTGGTGAGCAAAACCAGACTCCTTCAGATCTGCTTACAGTCCTCCAGATGCTCAGTTTCCATGCAGGACCTTTGCACATGCTTTTTCCTTGTCTGGAAACTGCTTCTGTCTCCTCTCCTTTCTCTATGTTCCTGACTTTGCCAGGTCAACACCTACTCACCCATAGGATCTCAGATTAAACATCGTTTATTGAGGGATATCTTATCCGACCCCCAAGCTAGGTCCTCCTGTTAGATGCTCTTCGAGCTCCCTGTCTTCCACCTTCATAGCACTTACCTCGTTTTCTATTTTTACATTTGTTTGTGTGGTTATTTGGTTAATACCCATCTTCCTCACCAGGAAGCTTTAGGAGCTTCCACGTCTGGTTTTTGCTTACCGTTGTATCCTTCTGGTGCTTAGCTGGTGCTCCACATTTTATTGAATGAATAAATGAGTGAGTAAATGATTCTCCTGCAAGAGTATTCAGAGGGTACTGCCTTCAGGGGAATGTTGGTGCCTCTGCCTTGGTGTGAATATGAGCTGGGGGCTGGGAGGGGCGTGCAAAGCTCTCACCAAGGAGAGGGCCTAGAAGCTTAGTCCCTTCCCTGCCCCTCCTCATCCCCAACACCTGTGACTCAGCCCCGCCCACCTCTCCTTCCCCACCCAGCTCTCCCCATTGTTCACAAGCCCCAGCAACACTGGTCCTGCTCCTGCTCCTCTAGGGCTTCCCACACACTGACTCCCCCACCTGCAGCTCTTCTCCCTGCTCTTTTTCACATGGCTGGCTCCTCCTCATCCTTCAGGTCAAGTTTATAATTCTATAATTTTATTTATTTTTCCCCCCAAAGCCCCAGTAGATAGTTGTATGTCATAGCTGCACATTCTTCCAGTTGCTGTATGTGGGACGCGGCTCAGCGTGGCCAGAGAAGCGGTGCGTCGGTGCGCGCCCGGGATCCAAACCCGGGCCACCAGCAGCGGAGCGCGCGCACTTAACCACTAAGCCACGGGGCCGGCCCAGGTCAAGTTCAAATGCTGCATCTTTAGAGGACACCCTCTCTGAGGAGGTCTCCCTATTATTGCCCGTCTTTTCATCCAGTTCATTTCCTTCACTGTAGCTCACAATGGAAATGCACTTTTATATTGTTTATCATCTAGATGTGTCCCTAGACGACTTAGAAGATTTTGGCCACACATAACAAAAAATCCAACTCCATCGTCTTGAACAATAAGGAAGATTGTCTGGTGGTGGGACTGGTTCTGGGGCTGGTTGATTCAGTGATGTTCTCAAGGACCTGGGCTCTCCCCATCTTGCTGCTCTGGCACCCCTGATGTTGGCTTTGTCTTCAGGTAGGTTAGCAGGATGGCTGCAGCAACTCCAGGAGTCACCGTTTGCACTTCATCTCATACAATTAGGGTTTTCGCCTTGTATGTCTTAGTTAACTATTGCCGTGTAACAAATTATCACAAAACTTAGCAGTTTAAAACAACATTTATTATCTCACAGTTTCCCAGGGTTAGAAACCCAGGAGTGGCTTAACGGGTTGGTTCTGGCAAAGGGTCTCTCCTGAGGTTATTGTCAAGCTGCTGACTTCAGGGCTGAAGTCATCTGAAGGCTTAACTGGGGCTGCAGGATCCGCTTCCAAGCTCATTCACGTGGCTGTTGGCAGAAGGCTTCAGTCCCTCAGTCCGTGGGCCCCTCCATAAGGCTGTTCACACTGCGGCAGCTGCCTTCCTCCAGAGCAAGTGAGCCAGGAGCAAGAGCAACCAAGACAGAAGCTGCAGTGTCTTTGTGCTCTAATCTCAGACATGACACACCATCGGTCACTTGGCCCAGCCCTGGCACAACATGGGCAGGGACTACACAGGTGTGAACTCTCGGAGGTGGGGGACACAGGGAGGTCATCTTGGAGCCTGGCTCCCACATGGTATTTTTTTTTCAAAAGTGAGGAAGCCACTCCTAGAAACCCCAGAAGGCTTTTCTTTATATCTGTGGGTTACAATTGTGTCACGTGCTCATACCTCAACCAATCATTCATGAGGGGCTTGGGACCATCATTTTTGGCTCATTACAATCATGATTCACCCCTGGGCTTAGGATCCACCTCTGCTGATGCACAGGGTGGGATCCAGGAGGGAGATGGCCACCTGAACAAAATCAGGATTCTGTTTGGAATGAGGAAGGGGCGATGGGAACGGATGTTGAGTAGGCAACTCACAGTGTCTATGATGCTCACCTGCTGGACTGTAAACTCCATGAGAACAGAGGTTACATCTTTTCCTACTACTGCAACCCCAGCACGTAGCCCACTGCCTGGTACAGAGTAGATGGGACCATATTTGTTAAATGAATCAATGAATGAATTCATGACTAAATGGAAGACCACAGGCTGGTAGCAAGTAAAGGTAGATATTCCCGGGCCCTTCTTGTTAGAACTCAGGAGGCCACCTGCTCCCAAGCCCACCGCCAGCCCCAAGGATAGACAGGACTGGCAGAATTATTCTCACTTTATTTCTGGAGAAGTTTGATCAGATGCAATAACACTGATTCCAGGCGAGGGCAGGGGGCACGGGTACCCCTAAAGCAACCAGTATCCTGTGACCCAAGGTGCCCCCAATCCCTAGACCTGGGTTCCCCCTCAGTTACAGTTAAATAGAGAGAGGAAGATCTCCCCAGGGAGTCTTGGGAGGGTCTGCCTCCTGCACCCATCCCCTCCACGCAGAGGAGTCTGAGCACAAGCTATTTACAGTATTCACATCCACTGTACCCCACCAAACCAAGGCAAATCTACAGGCGGCCCTTCCCCAAGGGAGGAGGCCAGAGAGGCTGTGAGTGTATGTGTGTGTGTGTATGTGGGGGGGGCGGTCTGTGCATGTGAGCACACGAATGCACTGAGAGGGTCTGGCTCCGGCCAAAGAGACATCAGTCTATAAGGTGCAGATTAAAAATAACAGAGAGGACCCACCCCGGGGGCCCAGGCCACTTCCGGCTTTGTTCTGTCTCTTTTTCTTCCAGACATCCTGGTGGATGACGCAGAGGAGCCCTCATAGCTGTGCCTGGATCCAAGTCCTCCTTAAAGGACTTCTGGGAAAAAAGCGGGAGGGGAAATGTCAGGTAAACCATGCATCCAAGCCCAGATGGCTGGGGGTCTTCAGGGTGGAGCGTGAGAGGGCCTCTGGCAGAGCTGGAAGAGAGGGCAGGCTGGGGCAGCCAGGGAAGACTGCTGGGAGGGAAGCCTGTGGGTCCAGGATCAGGGATCCCTACCTGTGACCTGCGGGGGCTGCACCACAGCTTTCTTGAGGAAGGCTTCTGCCTCTGCGAAGGGCAGGAGTGTCTCTGGTGTTCGGCCGAGGCTCTTGTCCCCCGAGGGTCCCTTAGGGGAGAAGCCATTCTCCTGGTGTGCTGGGAGAGGCTGCAGGCCATTCACCAGGGACCCTGGCAACTCCTTGCTTGGCAGGCTGTGGATGCAGAGACCAACGCTCAGGCACCTCCCATCCCAGGACAGCCCAGGTACCCCACAGCTCCAGCCTGACCCTGCCTCCCTGCTCCGGGCCCTTGGGACTGGGAGACGGTACCTCCACTGAGGCTCCTGGGGGGCCGGCTCCTCTTTCTGTACAGCTTCCTTCTGCAGTCCCAAGGGCCGAGCCTCCCCGGCCTTCACAGGGTCTATAGCAGGGAAGGTACGGACCATCAGTTAGGGGTCGGTGAGAGGAGGAGCTTTGAGGATGGGGTGGCAGAGGGGATGGAGATGAGGGGAACAGGGCCTTTACCTGGGCTGGAATTGTTAGCTTTTGCCTCCTTTCTGTCCTGCTTCTGCTTTGAAGAGGAAGAGCAGTCAGACTCAAGGGATATCTGGCCCCACCGACCGAGGTGCTAAATGCCCCCCTGCCCAGCCCAGACCCCGACGGCCTCCCCACAGCCTCCTACCCAACCCCGGATGCCTTTCCTCACCCGACCACCCCTCCCAACGCTGCCCTTCGGGAATCCTGACCTTGGTTTCAGCAGCTTCTGACTTCCGAGTCCTCTTCATTATCTCTTCCAGACGCTGTTTGGAGGCCCCACACCAGTTAGGCCCGAGCCCCGCCCTAATCCCCAACCTGCCCCCAGCCAGCCCCGGTCCTCGAGTCGCAGGGCCCTTCTGGCTCATACCAGTCCTTTCCAGGCCAGGAACCAGAGCTCGCCCCAACTCCTTCTTGTCCCGCCCTCTAAGCCCAAGGCAGGGTCCACTCCCCCAGCCCCACCAACTGAAGCCTGGACGCCGCCCCGGAGCTGGCCCCGCCCACTGCCCCGCCCACCTTTTTGCGCTCTTGCCGCTCCTGCTCCTCCCGCTGGAAGTGCTTTTCCCGCTCCAGACGCTGCCGCTCCGCTTCTTCCCGGGACCGAGCTTCGGCCTCCTCTTTCTGCCAAAGACCCCCGGGGAGCTTTAGGCAGCTGGACTCCAGCTTTCCCTCCGGGCCAGCCCCCGGCCTGCCACCAGGAGGCGCCCGCGCCCAGCCCCGAGGGGCACCTGCTTCTGCAGCCGCTCCTGCTCCTCCTGCTCCGCCTGCGCCTTCTCGCGGGCCTCCTGCTCCTCCCGCCTCCTGGCCTCCGCCTCCCGCTCGGCCCGGGCCTCGGCCTCCCGCGCCAGCTGCTCCTCTCGCATTCGCCTGGAGGACAGAGGGAACTCGGGCTCCGTCCGTGCGTCTTCTGCAGCCCCCACAAGGGCCTCCTCTGTCCCCGAGAGCACACTCACTTGTCCCTTTCTGCCTGCAGCCTCCGCTCCTGTTCCTCGCGCTCCCGCTGCTCCCGGGCCTGGCGCCGCTTCTCAGCCAGGAGCCGAGTGGCCTCCTCTCGGTCTGTGGTGCCCGCCATGGGTTTGCTAGGCGTCGCCGGGGGAGCAGGGGCTGGGGGTGTGGCCAGGACAGCAGTATCTGGAGTGAGATCCAAGACCAGGAGTCAGCACACACCAGCACAGGCATCTCCATCACCCCTGCATGCCCCGTGCTTGCTGGACCTCAGGGCGACCTGCCATCAACTCAGAGTGGTGAGGTCTTCCTCTTTGGCCTGTGTTCTGGGCCTGGACCTGCTGAGGGCAGGAGCCTCCCCTTCCTGTCTCCCAACACCCAGTCCCTAGGCATCTCTGGCTGCCCACACCTCTGACCACCTCCCCTCCACAGGCGAAGCTGGCTTCTCTCCATGCCCACCTGCAGGGATCTCCGCTGCCGGCTGCTCCTTCTGGGGCTGGGCTGGGGTGGGTGAGGGCACAGGTGAGGGTGCTGGCGAGGCCGGGGCTGCGGGCTCCTTCTCATCACTGGCCTTGCCCTTGCTCTGATTCTTGTCCTCAGGCCCTGAGGGGCTCTCCTTTGCCTCATCCTTCCTCCGAACGCGCCCCTTGGGTGATGCAGTGGTGCCTCGCGGGGACGGTGGTTTTGGGGGCAGAGCGTGGCCTGGTCCTGGGCTGGGGCAGGGAGAGGCAGGCCTTTGCCGGGATGTAGAGGGAGAGGATGGCCGGGCCTTGGATTTGGGACTGAGAGAAAAGGGAAGAATTAGGCCTTGAGGGCACAGAGTGTTCACACACACACACACATACACACACACACACACTCTGAGCTAGTCACTTCCTCAGGGAAGTGTCCCCCCCCCGGGGGGCTAGGTCAGCACTCCCACCTTATATGCTCTCACAGAACCATATAACTTCCTTTTAGAGCATATATCGCAGTTTGTAATTACATAGTCATTTGTGATTCTTTGATTAATATCTGTCTCCCCAGTAGCGGGTAAGAGTAATACGAGCAAGACCTAGGCCTGGTTTGGCTCTGAAGTGTCCTCAGAGCCCAGAAGGGTACCCGGCAGGTCCATTCATTCATTCAGCAGGTATTCGTTGGGTGCTTGCCAGATGCCAGGCACTGTTCTAGGTGCTACCGTACTTCAGTGATCAAAACACTCAAAAAAAAAAAAAAAAAAATCTGCCCTCAAGGAACTTGCATGCTAGGGCCGCCCCGTGGTTTAGCGGTTAAGTGTGCGCTCCGCTACTGGCGGCCCGGGGTAGGGATCCTGGGCAGGCACAGACGCACTGCTTGTCCGGCCATGCTGAGGCCGCGTTCCACATACAGCAACTAGAAGGATGTGCAACTATGACATACTGGGGCTTTGGGGAGAAAAAGGGAAAAAATAAACAAAAATTTTTTTAAAAAAGGAGCTTTCATGCTAGAGGTGGGTGCCCAATAAATATTTATATTGAGTGAATGAATGAATGAATGAAGGGCCTGGTGACGCGCGCCCCAGCCCCGCCCCGCCCCGCCCACCTGAGCTCCGAGGCCGCAGCTGCGGACAGGCGGGGGCGCGGAGAGGCGGGCAGCGATTGGCGCTTTTTGAGGCTGCGCTCGCGGGCCAGGGCACTCTTCTCCTTCTCGTTTTCCCGCTCCTTGTCCTTCTTCTCCTTTTTCTGTACCTGGCGGGAAGGGGGAAACAGAGGGGGAGCCCAGGTCAGCGGCTCCCTGGGCCCGGGGTCCCTGTCCCCACCTGCGCCACCACTCACCGGTGAGGCCTCGGGCCGGCGGCGCACCGAGGCGGGGCTGGCCCCCGCGGTGGGCTTGCGGCGCTCCCCGGCGGGGGCGCAACGGTGCGCGCTTCGGGGGGCGCTGCACGGAGTCAGGGGGCTGGCGGAGGCCGAGCGCGGGCACACTGGCACGGCTGCGGAGGGATGAGTGCGGTCGGGGCGCGGCCCACGCGCGAGGCTAGCCCCTGTCCCGCCCCTCACGGGGGCTCTCCCGGGGCCGCGGCCCCTACCCTGGTCCCGGCCGTTGCGGGGCAGTGTAACCGCACTGCGACTCCGTGCCAGGAAGGAGAGGGTGGGCGTCATCAGACGGTCCACGATGCTGCTCTCCCATGCGCTCAGCTGCAGGCTGCGATCTAGGGGGAGAATGCCAGGGGAAGCCGGTCACCGCAGGGGCCCACAGGAGACAGGCAAAGGCATAGGGGGATGGCCAGGTACCATCCCCATGGCAAACCCAAGGAGTCTCCCCCAGGAGGACTCTCTCCCCAGTTACAAAGGAACACACTTGTCCACTCTGAGGTCTGACCTCCACTGCAGACCCAGGCAACAATACACTTCCCAGGGCAACCTGCTGCATCACTTGAGGGTCCATTCCTACTACTGTCCCCAGATGAAAGGGCTGTGAACTGTGAGCACAGAAAGGAGCTACCCAGGGTTGGTGGAAGACCCAACTGCCCACTCCCACATCCCACTGTAGGGCTCTGCCCCTCCTGCTCTCAGAGGGCTGGCCTGGCGAGGCATGACCCCATGGATTTGGGACAGTGAGGGTCCTTGTGCTCCTCTGACTCAGGCAAGTCCCAGCTTTTAGGCGTCCCATGCCAGGGAGAGGCTGCTAGGGGGCCTGGCTGCCCTGGGCCACCCTGCTCTGTCCCCTCAGCTGCTGGGTTATTTTTAAGGCTCAGTCAGGTGGGGTTGGTACAGCAGCTGATTTGGTTGCTAGGCAATAGAGCAACCAAATAAAAGCTGGAGAAACTTATAAATAACTCCTATCATGGCCTCTTCACATTTGAGCACCAGAGCATGGTGGGAACACAGGGGCCATGGCACCCTGATTGGTCACAACTCTGGAGCCAGCCAAAGCCATGGCTGGGCCTCTGAAGGTAGAGAGGGCAAGGTTGCATGGGCCCTCCAGGGTGGAGCCAGAATAAGGGGCCCCCTCCACCCACACAGCACCCAGGCCAGTCTGGTACTCAGGGGCAAGGCCACCTGCCTAAGGCTGGCCTAGGCCAGCTGGCTGTGGTTGGAGATGAGGCTGCCTGCTCATTCCCACTCCCCCACCTCCCCCACCCCCGCCACCTGCTCTTGAGGCCCCTGCCAGGCTCTCTGCCTGCTGGGACACTGCCCTTTGTCTCTGTTCTCCTCCCCTGCAGGGCACACCTCTGTCCTCAGGGTCCAGACCCAAATGCCGGCTCCCCCAAGGGGCGCAGAGCCCTGGGTGGGGTAGAGTGGGGATGGAGATCTGGAGTATGTGAGGGTCCAGGGACCTGGGGTTCTTGCTGAGCTCTGGAGAAGGCTTGGTGGGGGCTACAAGGGGCTCTGGAGGGAGGAGGGCTGGGCCTTCTCTTACTTCTACTGGGGGAGTTCCAGAGCGTGGCAGAGGACTTTGAGAGCCGCTTGTTGATTATAGAGTCCACGTGTTTGGGCAGGTTTACTGCCGACACGGAGCACCTGCTCCCACCTGGAGGGGAAAAGACACGGCATTAGGGCCGGGCCGGGCAGGAGCCAGGGGGGGCACTGAGGCCTTCCATGCAGGATGCTCCAAGGGCAGGGTGGGAGAGGGAGGAGTGGGCAGGCTAGGAAGGGGAGGAGGAGGCAGACTTGGCTCTAGGAGGAGGGGAGGTAGGTGACCAGAGACAACCTGGATTGGGGGAGCCGACGGAGAAGGAACAGAGGAAGGAGATGGAGTAAAACTAGAGAAACTACAGCCTTCCTGGCCTGGAAGCCATTCCCTAGGGCTGGACACTGCAACCCCTCCCCCACAACCACCCAGTGTTGGCACTTGTGACACTGCCCAGCCAAGGCGCTATGGCTACAACACCCACGTACTGGGACAAATGCAAAGACAGTCCTAAACAGAAGAACCCACAGTCACAGCCATTCGCACAAATCCACATATTCATAGGGACACAAGAAGACAAAGACATGCAGGCGTGGGCATTTAGAGTGACAGGTACTTCCGCATGCACACGTGTGTGCAGACATGCACAGATACAGAAACACAAACACTAATAGATAACGTGTCAGACCCAGATGCACACAGGCACAAAGATATTGAAGCAACATATCATGGTATTTGTAACAGCTAACATTTGTGGGATGCTTACCATGTACCAGGCACTGTGCTGGGCACCACACACCTGTTACCTCACTTGATCCTCCCAAACATCTACCTACAACCTCGGAGGCAAGTAGTATGGTTATCCCCATTCCACAGATGAAGAAAGTGAGACATTGAGAAGTTAGGGTTCACACCGCAAGTGCCAGAGCTGGTATTCTAACACAATTCTGTCTGACTCGGGAATCCTCACTGAGGTACACAGGCCACAAACACACCAAGGCAAACACATATGCAGATACACAATGCTCAGATCCATGAGCACATACACTAAGATACTCAGCTAGCTATTCTGAACCTTGGTATTACATAAAGACATCCGAACACAGAGGTACATACATGCCAGCAAAGAATCAGATCAAAATCCATGAAGGCGTTACATGAAGAAAACTCAGACACAAAAATCTACCTTCCAAGACAGGTACATAAGGGGGCGATAGTTTTCTTTAAATATCCAGTGTCTGCAGGGCATTAAAGTCCTCTTTTATATATATCATCAACTAATAATAATTGACAGGAGTAAAGAAGACTAATCCTAAAATGACAGAGGTTTGATGAGCAAACTAAATGAAGAGAATCCATCTCTGACTTGAGAGTGGAAGTCCTTGGGAACGGACAATTTGATTTACAGACCATTCCAGAAGACACAAGTCATGTGAAGCAAGGCATACCTGCCGCAGGGAGCTGCCAGCTCCTTGCACTGAAGCTGCTCCTTTCCCTTGCTCCTCAGGCCCCAGCCTCGCCCACCCACCCCTAGCCCCTCAGCCCACTCACTGGTCTTATGTCCTGGGGAGCTGTGGTGCAGGGCCCCTGCCCAGGACCAGCGCTGCTGCCGGATTTCGGCCCACGTCTTCTTCACTGACCGCTGGATGGCTGCTTCGTAGCGCTCCTGGTGGGGAGGGGGGAGAGGGGAGAGGTCTAGGCTCAGAATCATTCACCATACCTGGGAAAAAGGCCCCTCTCTCCTGTGACAATGGCTCTCTCAACCCAAGAAGTTTTCTCTGACTCATTGCAGGTAACCAAGGTTACTGAATCCTTGCCATGATTCAAGACCATTTGCAACAGATCCCTTTCAACTTGTTCTTGGGGAGCTTTTCACTGTTCTTGAGTCATTTCCTGAGGGGATGAGCTGTTTCTCTGAAGATGGGGTGGGACTCTCCCTGCCTGGGGCTCCAAGGCGGGTCACATCCCCCTGACTCTGAGGGTCCTGACCTTGGGGCTATGTTTTCCTTCCAGCCTGAGGCCCCCTGGGCAGGGCCAGGCCACCTTTCCCTTCATTTCCTCACTGGGGCTCAAGCCAGGACTCTCCTCATGTCGTGGAGCTCAGCACACTCACACAGACACATCTCTGCATACATACAAACACACACACCCAGGGCACACACTCAAATAACGCATACTGACAGCGCACGGCTACAAGTGCCCACCCTGGCGTGTACAGAACTGAACATGTCTGCAGTCTCAGATGCCCAGATGTAGTGTGACCAGGGACCCAACTGTAGATGTGAACACAGACAGGACCACGTAGACACAGATGACGCAGAGTTTTGAACACAGCTGTGTGCACACACTGAGCCAGTGTACAGATGCGTGCGCACAAATGTACACGGATCCACGCATACCCAGGCAGAAAGCAGCACGGACGCACCTTGTTTTTCTCCAGCTTCTGCCGCTGCCGCTCCTCCAGGGCCGCTCGGCGCTGCTCGGCTTTGAGCCGCTGCTCCTCCAGCCGCCGCCGGCGCTCCTGGAGCTGCTTCTCCCGCAGCACCTTGGCCTTCTCCTCCTTCTCCAGCCACACCGCCTTCTTGGCCGCTGTGGGAAAGGAGCCCGGAGGGTGTCAGGGGTTCTGCAGTGGCCAGCCTTCCCTGTTACCCCAGCCCCAGGTGGGTCTTTCTCCTGCCTGCTTGGGGGGGAGGTGCCTCCACTCTCAGACTCCCCCCTCAGATTGAACGGCTTCCTGAAGATGGGCTCAGGCCTCAGAGTGAGGGCTTTCCTGATGGGAGGCCTGTTTCTCCCCCATTGAGAGTCTCTTGGTGCTGAAGGAGGAATGAGTTCTTCAGTGCCAGATCCCTGTCTCACTTGGGGGCCTGACGGACAGATTTCCATGTATGTATTGTGATAAGAGCATGGGATTTGTGGTGAGATGAGCTTTCTGGGTCTGAATCTCAGCTACTCACTATCTGTGCGTCTTTGGCAAATGATTTTATCTTTCTGAGCATCTGTTTCCTCAGCCTCAAAATGGCTGGAGAGGATTAAATGGGACAACGCACATACTGCTCTTAGTGCACGTATTGAAGTGTTCCAAATGGTTAGTGTTATTAATAGGATGTTGATGGTGATGATGGTGAAGAAGATGACGATGCTTCCCACTCACTCACCCAGGTACTTGGCCCGCTCTTCTCGCCGCTCCTTTGCCAGCTTGTGCCTCTCTCCTGCCTTCTTTACATCTTAGTAGAGGGAATAAGAACAGACTTAAGTCAAGAGCCTCCCCCTAAAGGGCAGTCAGCCTCAGGGCCCTCCCCGCAGGCCTCCTCCCCATCCCTTCTCCCATCTCCTCCAGGGCAAAGGAGATTCCCTCCAGTGGCATCATCCAGGGCTGGGACCCTGAGCTAAGGGGTTTGGGACCAGGACTAGGGACATCACACACACCTTGCTTGGTAGGAGGGCTGTCGGAGGCTGGCACTGCTGTTGGGGATGGCTGGCTGCTCCTTCGAGGAGGCCTGGCATCCTGTGGGCCTATGGCTGGAGGGGTGGGTCCTCTGCTCTTCACTTCTGAGAAAGGGGACTCTTCCTGCTGGGGGGCTGGCCTAGGATCTATCAGCCCTGGGGGGCTCTCTGGTTCCATTGGGAGCTGCTTAGGGCTAGTGGCATTCTTCATGGCAGGAGGGGTGTCCGGGGGAGTGTCGGGAACCAGGGCTGACATCGGTGGTGGTGGTGGCGGTGGGGAGGGGTCACCTTCTGGAGAAGGTCTTGGCTCTGGGGGTGTTCTGGCTGCCACAGCTGGAAAACCAACACAAGAGAGGAAAGAGAGTCAGATAGAACACCTTTGCCATCAATTCAACATGTAGCGCTCTCTCGTCCAATTGACATTCATTCATTCATTCGACATGTTTACTGAGCCCCTTCTATGGGCCAAGCTCTGTTCCAGATATTAATGATACAATGGTGAGAACATGGCCATGGCCCCTGCCTCTGTGGAGCCCACACTCTAGCAGAGCAGACAGACAAATCGCTAGGCAATTACAGTAGAGGATAAGTACTATGTCTTGGGATAGCAGAGCAGAGATGGTTAACCTACATTTTGGGGGGCTTCCTGCAAAAGTAACAACCAAGCTGAGATCTAAAGGATGAGCTAGAATTGGCAAACCAAGGAGGAGAGGGTTCTGGCAAAGAGAAGAGTGTTTTTGGGGCCGGCCCGGTGGCGCAAGCGGTTAAGTGCGCGCGCTCCGCTGCAGCGGCCCGGGGTTCGCTGGTTCGGATCCCGGGCGCACACCGACGAACTGCTTGGCAAGCCATGCTGTGGCGGCGTCCCATATAAAGTGGAGGAAGATGGGCACAGATGTTAGCCCAGGGCCGTCTTCCTCAGCAAAAAAAGAGGAGGATTGGCGGATGTTAGCACAGGGCTGATCTCCTCACAAAAAAAAAAAAAAAAAGAGAGAAGAGTGTTTACAAAGGGGCAAAAGGGAGCAGGGTGTATTGGAAAAACCGAGAAAAAGTTTGTAGCACTTATTAGTGCATCAAATGGTAATGACTGGTTTCCACGTCTGCCTCCCTCGATTTTCTGCTTTGCCTCGGGGTCACGGTGCCCAACCCAAGGCCTGGTGCTTAGAGGGTGCCAGTGCTGAGCACATGGGACTGGCCAAGAGGAGGAACATAAGCATGGGGACAAGGGGGATGCCCAAGCTGCAAAAATTCCCAATGGGGTGGGCAACCAGCTACATCCACTTTGTAATCTTTTTCTTCTTTCCCAACTCTGTATTTCTTCTTTTAAGACATTAATATCTCAGGGTCCCTGTAAAAAACACCAAAGTGCCAAGTAATGAAGCCACATTTTTGGTATGTACATGTATATGCATACATGTGAGCACATGTACATTATGGGACAGTTGGAAGACAGGCTTCAGAGTCAGTCAGATGAGAGCCCAATTCTGATTTTACCACCCTAAGACAGGAAGGAAGGGCCTCCTTCCCCAGCAGGTAACCTTGGGCAAGCCACTCAACCTCTCTGAGCCTCAGTTTTCATATCTGTTAAATGGGAACAATGAGTCCAAGCCAGTAGGGATGTCAGAAAAGAGCCTGGCCCAATTCATGTGCCAGCAAACACTTGTCTCCCTTTTCCTGTGGGTCTTATGAAGCTGCCAAAGAGAAGCCCTTGCATGTTGAGCCCTGGTGACATCTGTTGCTACCCTCTGGGTACTGAGAGGACCAGTGGGGACACAGGCACTGACCTGGGCTTAGGGAGCAGGGCCAGGATCCATGGGAAGGTCAATCTAAGGAAGCATTTTTCGTTCTTACCATGTGCCTCCACCATACTAGGTCCTCTGCTCTGGGCACTCTGGCCCTCTCGGGGTGACAAACTCTCCATCTCTGTGGGTGACAACGTGTGTGCAGGGAGAGGACACTCCCAAGGAGTCGCCTTTGGGACTCTGGGCAACTTTTTCAGGCAGACGGGTATCCAGTGGTTGAGTATGGGGTCCAGAGGCAGACTATTTGAATATGAATTCCGGCTTCCCCACTAACTGTGTGACCTTGGGCTGGTTACAGACCCTCTCTGGGCTACAGCTCCTTTTCTATAAAACGTAGATAGTACCTGCCTTACAGGAATGTGATGAGTGTTAGTGATAACAATAACCATTAACATTTATATATTTTTCGAGAGCTTCCTATGTTCAAAGCATTTCACACGTATTAGTTTTAATCCTCACTGACTACGTAACAAGGAAGCACGATAAATAGCCCTTTCATACAGATGAGGAAAGCAAAGCAAAAAGAGGTTAAGTAAAATAATTTGAGGTCACTCAGGAGCCTGGACTTGAACCCAGCATCTGTTACCAGAGTGCATGCTCTAACCCATTACACCCTCCTGCTTCTGTTTGAGGCAGTATGAGGTCATACATGTTATGCAATGAAATTATCTGAGGCTCACACTATTTTCCCCTCATTCCCTCCGCTCCAGCTTCCTGGGCTCCAGGCAAAAGGCCCAGCTAATGCCCTGCCTCCCCAGTGGCCCCTCCAACTCAGCCCCTAGGCCCCATGATAGTCCACCTACCTCTTCCCATGCCAACTCCAGAAGGCGGCCTGGTCACTGCTAGTCTATTTCCCAGCTACCTGCAAACTCCACTCCAACTCCAATGTGCAATAAAACTGGTGGCAACATTTTAGTGAGTGCTTACTATGTACCAAGAGTGAGCTAGGTCCTTTGTGTCCCCATCCTGCATCCCTCATATGAACTCTGAGAGGCAGAGATTCTTGTCTCCATTACACAGATGAGACAACCAAAGCTTACCCCACTGAGGCGTTTGCCCAGGGTCATAGAACCACTATGTGGCAGAGGCAGGATTTGAACCCAGGACTGTCTGGGGCCAAAAGGCCTAGGTGTGTAAGTACTAAGCTTGAAGGCTGAGGGTGAGGCCTGTCTGTTGCCATTCTCCCAGCACCTGTGCGTGCTGCAGGTGTTGCAAGGAAAGCGGGTAGGCGGGTGTTTGTCTACACCTAGGCAAATCACACCCACCAGGCAAGACAGTGAATCTCCCACTACGTCCTGACTAGCCATGTGAAGAGAGCCTGGGAGGAGGAGGAGGAGGAGGCCTGGAAGGACCTGCACCCAGGTGTCAGATGCAGCAAAGCGGCAAGGTCTCAGGCTTCAGAGTCAGACAGGCCTGACTAGGGAATCCCAGCTCTGCTGTGGGACCTGGGACAAGCCCTGAACCTGGCTGAGCCTCGGTGTCCTCACTGAGTTGTTGGGAGTAGGTACATCATCTCTGGCACCTGGCTGGGGCTCAGTAAGTGGCACCTGCCCGGAAGAATCCATCCACTTCTCCCCATCTCTGCCATAATAGCCCACGTGGGTTAAGCCTTCGCTCCCAGTGCTCCATGACACTGCTCTTCTCAAGGTCACCGATGACCTCCACATTGCTAAATCAGCAGCCATTTTTCGGTCCTCGTCTTGCTAACCTATCAGCCTCACTGGACACAGTGGCTCCCTTGGTGCTCCTTGAACAGTTTCTTCACTCGGCTTTGAAGACAACACACCATCCTGGTTTTCCCTCTACCTTGCTGACTGTGACTTCTCAAGTCTTCTGTGCTGCTCCCTCCTTAACTTCCTAACCTCTGTGCTGGAGCGCCCCAGGGCTCAGAGGAGGACCTCATCTCTTCCCTGCGTCCACGCACTCCCTTGGTGATCTCATCCAGACTCACGGCTTTAAATACCATCTCCCTGCTGATGACAACCAAATTTGTGTCTCCAGCCCAGACCTCTCCCTCGAGTTCCAGTTTCGCTCATGCACCTCCCTACTTGACACCCTTGCATGTCTTACACACACCCCAAATTTAACACATCCAAAACTGAGCTCCTCCTATTCCCCCCAAAAACTCTGGTCCTCCCCCAGTTTTCCCCATCTGAGGCAATGGCAACCCTGTCCTTCCAGTTTCTCAGGCCACAAATCTTGGAGTCATTTTAGAATCCTTTCTTATCTCACACCCAACATCTAATCTCTCAGTAAATCTTTTTGGCTCTATGTGCAAAGCATATTCTGAATCCAACCACTTCTCACTGTTTCCACTTTTATCGTCTTGGTCCAGCCACTGTCATCCCTTATAAAAGACTCCCTGCTGCCATTCTTTGTTCCCTTTTAATTTTTTTTCTCAACGCAGCAGCAGTGATTCTGTTTAAAAATAAGTCAGATTGAATCACTCTTCTAACAAAATCCTCCAAAGACACCCCATCTGGAGGAAAAACCAGAAGCACCACGATGGCCTCCAAGGCCCTTCAGGATCCTCCCTCTCCAGCTCATTACTTCTTGGACCTCATCTCCTCCTCCTCTTCTCCCCCTGCTCAGTCTCTTCCGGCCGCTGTTCCTTATTTGTGCCAGGCTCACTCCTGCCTCAGGGCTTTGCACTCACTGTTCCCTCTGCCGAGAATTCTCTGCCCCCAGATTCCGTGTGTCTCATTCCCTCACCTCCTTCAGGACTTTACTCAAATGTCCCTTCTCAGTGAAGCCTTCCCTGACCCCCTATTTAAAATTACCAACTGCCATAGAAGTCTCCCTCCCCTTTCCAACTCTATTTTGCTCCATAAGCATTAACACCATTTTAACACTGTCTCCTACCCCCAGAAGATAATCTCCATGAGGGCACACATTTTTGTCTCTTTTGTTAGCTGTTCTATCTCCAAGACCCACAGAGCCTGGCACATAGGTACTCCACAATTATTTGCTGAATGAATAAATCAATGAACTCCACCCTGGCAGATATCATCATCATCTCTCTTACCTGGATGACTGCAAAGTCCTCCCACTGCTCTACCCACACTCATTCCCACTCTGCTCTTCGTGGAGCAGGTGGAGTAATTGTTTCCAAACGCAAATCTGATCATGGTACTCTTCGCCACTGGACACTTCTCAGTGGCTTCTCATTGCTCTGAAGATAAAGACAAAATTCTTGAACCCAAGCCACAAGGCTGGCACAGTCTGAAGTCCCTGTCTCCCTCCCCCACACCTCTTGAATCTCCTCTCCTACCCTGTTCCCTGCTCGCTCTTTGCATACTCCAGTCACACTGATCTTTTAATTCTGATAACCATCCATCCTCTCTCTGCCATGGGGTCTTTGCACATGCTCTTTCCCCTCTTTTCTTACTTAACTCTCATTTACCCTTCAGATCTTAGCTCAGTCATCATTTCTTCAGGGAGGCCTTCCCTGGCCTCTCCGATCAGGACAAATTCCTTCACTATATACAGTCATGGCTTCATGTGCCTCTTGTTTGGAGTACTGTGACTTACAGT